AATAAACAGCAGCATAATCTGAATGGTGATCTGATTTCCAAACTGGGATTTAGCCTGGAAGGTTTACTGGAGAAGAAGTGCCTGTGCTTCTTTCATAACCTAAGTCTATTGTATTATTGGTGGCAAGAAGGGGAGAAAGAGGTGTTCTTTCCCCTAAAGTCAAACAGGGCATCTGGATGCACTTTTAAGGCCTGTGTTTTCAGACAACAATGTCAGCATCCATTCTAAGCTGTATATGCAACTTATGAAATTAAATTGAGCCACCGGTTTCTATGTCTGGGTAGTAAACATGGGGGAAAGAAGCATTTTGCATTGGAGTTGTTTGCAATGTTGGATTGTGCTTCAAGCATCCATCTCTGGGTCTCCTTTGCTCCTGGGATTTGTCCCTGATATCGAGCTTTTTTGTGGGGGCCTCCCAGCGAGAGAGATCCCCTAGGACCACCCAAAAGGGTCCTCGAACCTCGGTGAGGCCAGCGAAGCCAATCCAAAGAAAGCGAAAATATTTTAAAAATCAATCTCACCGGAGGCGGAAGAGGTTCAGTGACCGAGGCGTTTATTTTGCGATTCAGCTGAAAAGGATGCGATTGTAGTGATCATTCACATACAAGCATGATTTTACAGAATTTTCCAAGCATTTTATAGGGTTCAGACAAAGGGAAACAGTTTCAAAAATCCCGCCCGCCCTCTGCCGGCCGGCTTCGCTCTGATTGGCTGGCCGCGGAACAGCTGGGAGGAGGCTTGGCGGCACGCCTCGCCTCCTGTCCAATCAGCGGGCTCCGCCGCCTCTAGGAGGCCAATCAGCGCCTTCCTAGCGCCTCTGAAGATGGACCAATCGGCAGCTAGGAGGCGGGACGGAGTCTGACAATGGCAGGGGAAATGACAGCCTTAAGGGCATCCGCCAGCTGGAATGTGAGGCTTTGTCCTCACATGGCGGGGTGTCAGATAGGGGAACAATGAACTTCCTGGTCTGTGATGGGATTTGGGAGGAAGTATGAAAAGGGCTTTTTGCGATATCGGACCTCAAAGGGGGATCAACAATATCTAAATGATTTAATCAGTCTTTTCTTCCTGAGTTTCTGTTGACCCCCCCCCCTCCCTCGCTGTCTGCTCTGAAAGCCAGGATCGAGGGAAGACAACAGCACGGCCCATGCAAATGTAATTAAGAATAGTTTCGGGAGGACAAAGGAGTTCCTCCTCACGACAGTAATCCCCAGGTCACATCTTTGTGGTGCAAGGGTCAAAGGGAAAGGCGGGAAGGGGAATCATAGTACATTCCATATGATATTTCATTATATACATTCCATACATTTAATATATTTCATAAAACAATCCCTATCCCCATCCCCAGCAAAGTTTATTAAAAATAGTTGGTTTATTTTATTATACGAAGAAATTCATAGTCTCTTGATGAAGGCGCACGGAAGCTGAGGCTGCTTGTCCTTCAAGGCAAGCCTGGTCTGAAAGTTCGTGTCCAAAGATGCAGCAGGAAAACAGTCCGGGACGTGGGGCAGAAAGTCAATAGGAGAGGGCAAAAGAGTCCGAAGAGGATTTCCGGGTTGCAATGATGGGGCAATGTCCTTTGGAGAACTATATCTCCCTGGTCAGAGGCCGGGACCCATGCCTGGCCGCCTCCCCGGGACTCCTACGGGCGGCCGCAGTGGGTCCCCGGTTGCTGGATCCAAGTAGGAGCGAGCGCTGCTGAGGAGAAGCGAAGAGCCCGGCCAAATTGACAAACAGCTGTTTTTCTGTAAGATAAAATACTCAAGCAAAACCAATTTATTCCCGGGTGTAGGAGCCCAAAATGAGAAAAGGGAGATAGAAGTTAGTCTTGGGATTAGTTGCAGAAAAATATAAAATTGGAACGGCGGCGATCCGCCATTTTATGAATTTTCGCGGATAAGGGGGTCTGAAATGGCAGTTTCCGTATCCGCGGTTTGAACGGACGCAGATTCGGGGTCCCGGGAGCGCCCGGAGGCGCCTCCCGCGGGCTCACGGCTCTCCGGAGCCCGGAAAAAGGTTTATTGTAATGTTATTTTGGTTTGAGTCAAGGAAGGATACAAAAGTATCAAGCGGAGAGGTAAAAAGTTGCAAGTTTCAAGTACCTTTATTAGGGAAATGATACAAAGTAGGGAGAAGGGGAAAGCAAAGAAAGGCTGCAGGCATTCCTGGTTTTGAGTTGGCTGCTGGGGCACATTTCATCGGTTGGTCCCCAGAACTTGATCCAGGAACTGCGGAACTCCCCGCTGCGGTTCACACCAATGTGAAGGCGGGGCTCCCCGCCGCGCTCGGGCTCATCCCTCTTGCTCAACAAGAGAGACATTGCAAAGGATTTGGGCAAGGCAAACACAGAAGGAACCCTCTTCCCTTAATGGTCAGCTCTGTTGGAGCATGCAAGGAATCAGTTAATGTGCGTGTGTCAACTGTAAAATAAGATGCACGGAACTGACTGGTCGGGCTATACCCAGGGAGCAGGCTGAGCCTGGGACTTTTGGATACTGTAACATTTTTGTCCAGGCTCAAGCTATGCAAATGCAGAGAGACAGTTTGAAGGGAGAAGCAGAGAGAGAGAGAGTTTGGAGTGTGCTCTTGCTTCTGAGAGAAAGATTCTTCACATGGACCAAGAAAGACCATTTTAAATGTCTCATAAAAGGATATTATGTGAGTCAATGCAACCGATTACCTGATTGTAAATATGTTGTTCTGAATCACTAAGTGTAAACTATTTGTTCTTTACTGTACATCTGCGTGGAATATTTTCTTTCTCTGGCTGTTGGAGCTCAGCCTGTGATTGTGTTTTAGGATCAGGCTGCTTTGGATGTGGGGAGTGATGTCAATGAGTTTCAAGGTGGCAGTGGTTTGGTCAATGATATTGATACAGAGAAGGACCAGGAGTTTCCTATGAGAATTTCCCTGAGGGGTGTGGAGATGATGGTGTGCTTCCAGAATTGCTACCAGCGAGTTCCCATGATTTGCAGCTTGAAATCAGCTTGGAACCAGGTGCAGAAATTAATGAGCAAATAGATAGACTGGAGGAGATTAGTCAAAACAGAAAAGCCGAACAGTGGCTTCGGCATTCTGCCAGACTCCAAGAGAATAAGATAAGGGATTCTAAGGCAAAGCGAAACCAATTTCTTAGTGCTTGGGACACAGTTACTAGGCTTGGTTGATCAAGAAAAAATTTGGTTCTAAAATCGATTTGTAATTGGGGTGTTTTTTTGTTTCGATATTTAAAATAATTACAAAATTTTCCCCAAAAAAAGTTTCGGTATTTACGAAATTTCGTAAATATTTACGAAACGTTTCGTTAAGATGGCGGACCCCCGCGCATGCGCAAAATCACTTCCGAAGCTTCGTTATTGGCGCGGGGGTCGATTTGTTAAGGTTATAACGAATATTCGTTAAAACGGCGGACGCGTTTGCGCATGCGCAAAAGCGACTTCCGAAACTTCGTTATTAAATACTTCGTTATTAATAACTTCGTTATTAAATATTTTGTGTTGGCAAAAGGAGCGCACTGGTTGGAACTACACAAATGATGAGCGAGCAGTGTATGTAGCACTTTGTGTTGGCAAAAGGAGCGCACTGGTTGGAACTACACAAATGACAAACGCACACACAGCCACCGAAGACTCTTTTATTTTTTTAGAATATTTTTTGTATTTTTTTAAGAATAAAAGACAGGTATTTTAAAAAATATTCAAAAATGGAAAATTAACCAAAAACTGGCCCTGATGTGGACCAAACACAGCCACGAGACAGGGCAAACGAGAGCACACACCAACAGAAGAGTCTTTTCTTTTTTTAGAATATTTTTTGTTTTTTTAAGAATAAAAGACAGGTATTTTTAAAAAATATTCAAAAATGGAAACTTAACCAAAAACTGACCCTGATGTGGACCAAACACAGCCACGAGACAGGGCAAATGAGAGCACACAGCAACAGAAGAGTTTTTTCTTTTTTAGAATATTTTTTGTATTTTTTTAAGAATAAAAGACAGGTATTTTTAGAAAATATTAAAAAATATTTAAAAATGGAAAATTAACAAACAAATTCACAAAAACCGAAGGAAGGAATGAATCCAAGCAAGGAATAATAAGCACTAAGCAGCAAGGAATGAATCCAAGCAAGGAATGAGCAAGGAATGAATCCAATCCAAGCAGTTGCAAGCCAACCCAATGCAAACCCTCCCGGACCTCTTCTCTTCTCCCTCGCCCTCTGCAGCAATGAGCTGTACGGCCGCGCGGAGCCGCTTTTAAAGGGCTCGCCGGCCAATCAGAAACAGCCACGGTGCACTGCTTGGGTGCTTGGGAGCGCCGGATTGGCTCCCAGGGCACCAGCAGCCTCCATCCCATTTACGAAACGGGCGGAAGCTCGTTAAAACTATGGGGGTTGCCGGTTCGTTATTTTTAAACCCTTCCGGGTTTGAAAATGTGTTTTGTTATCGTTTCGTAAATGCTAAAAATAACGAATATTTAACGAATTACAAAATTAACGAACGAAACCGCCCAGGCCTAACAGTTACCAAGGAGATAAAAGTCCCAAGTACAAGATTTGTAATCAGATGAAGCATCGTTTGGAATCAAGTCAAGTTCTTGTCCTTGTTTCATGGAAGCCTTGCTTGAAAGATTCGTTTAAGTGCCTTTTGTTTCATGGTTTTGATTCTTGGATTCTGTGATTTTATATTCACGCCTTAGATTCATGTTTCCTGGTTTCTGGGATTTTATTAGAGAAGTTTTGACTTTGTTCATGGACTTTACTGGACTATTTTTTCTGGCCTACTTTGTTCCTGCTTATCTTCTTACCTAATTGGATTTACCTATTTCTTTAAAGTGCTTTTTACTGTACTGCTTTTTAATTATCTTCAATAAAAGGATTATTTTTCCTACTCAATAGTATGGTGTTTAAAGTCAGAGGGCTTTTCCTGTTCTGGAGTGCAACACTGGCAAGGCAGTGTGTGGACTTCTCAAATGTGAACTACACCTGGTTCATTCTACATTATGCTACAAGCTCCGCTTGGGCTTCGGGGCAATGATGACGTCCTGGTAGCCCTTCACCCCTTTGAGCTTGTCACTTTCAAAGTCCACCACCAATTTCCGCAGACCGGATTGCCGGGGAACGAAGTCCACTCTCACTTTGGCTTCTTCGCCTGGATCAATTGGAGACTCACTGGGGAGAGACAGGAGAGCAAAGATCAATTAGCTGACTTCAACTCATGGTGATGCTGAAAGAAGGCTTTCCACCTGATCGTTTAGTAGTATACTTCTCTGTTTTTTAGAGCCAAACCATGGCCAAGCCATGCCAGATGAACCTTGGCTAGTATTTTCCCACCTGGTAGAAGGGGTTTGGACTGGTGGACTGAATGGTCCTTGGGTTCTCTTCCAAATTTACAATTCTAGTAGAGTTCTAGTTCTAACTCTCCCCATAATGAGTGACCATATACTTTTTCCTTCCTATTGACACTGGGATGGCTTGAAAAAGGAATATAAATTTAGACAGAATGTGATCTTTGACAACTGCGAGTCTTCCCAATCATGATAATTGTAGTGTTGAACATGGTTTTACTTTTTGTTGAATATAGAAACATTTGGATCAAGTCCATGAATCAAATTCACAAAAGTCAAATTCTTAAATGTGGATAGCCACCTGTGGCTTGCAAAACTGTAAATCCCATAATTGCATAGCATAGAGCCCTAGCAATTGATCTGCAATTCTTGTGCAACCTGAAAGCACTGTTTAAGAAGAGAAGACACTTACATTTCCTGGACCTTCTGTCCACTTGTGAGTCCAGCCCCTTCCACTGTGAAGACACAACCGGTCAGAGGAGTGGGCAGTGGGTTGGTCAGCGTCAGTTCGGCCACCAGCTTCCGCTTCTGCATTGGCTCCCCCAGGATCTGTGTTTGTAAAGAAGACATTGCAATGGGGGCAAAAAATGTGGAAGAACTTTGGATGGGGAGGAAATGCCATCATCCTTCCTTGTTTGCTGGGTTCAAGGGTTCAGGACTCCCATGAATATGCTTCCCAAACTTTGGTCCTACAGAAATTCATGGGTCACCGTAAGTGGATAGTTGACCTGAAAAGCTGTCCTTGTTTACTTTTCAGACTCTCCTGGGAATTCTGGTAGCTGTGGTCCAAAAAGAAGAACCTTCTCCAAGCCCAGAATTGCTGCCAAGGAATCCAAATGCCATAGGTGTTTAGAATAGACAAAGTTCAAGTTTACATGGGAAGTTAGGTTGTGGTTAAGCACAAAGGTTGTGGTTAAGTGCAAAATCTGTAGGTGCAAGAAGGTACTTTCCTTCAAAAGGTCAAGGAAGGGGGGCTAGAAAGAAAGTACTTTCCACGACCAAAAAACCCTTGTATTACTTGAGTATAAAGGTCAGCAAAAACAGAGGAGGGGGCAGCAGTCTGTGAAAGCTCACACAGAAATGCTGTCTGTCCACCTCATGCTGATCAGCTTGAATAAATGGTGTCTTACATGAACCTATTGGACTCCGTGGATTTCTTCGAAAGGGGATCCCGCACCCTAACCCGGGATCCCTTACAGTTACATCTCTCAGTCTGTTTGTCCTTGCCTTTGTCACCCTGTACCATCTGCCAGATGATAATAATTCAAAAAAATAATATGCTGAGTGAGATGGTTTCAGATGAAGGAACTGCCAAAGCTGTGGGGATTTGTAAAAAGGCACCATGATGTAATGGGTTGACTGGAAAGGCATCTGTTGGCAGCTAATTGGCTGAGCATGCCAGGAGCCAGAATTCTGATTGGCTACTGTCTCTAGCTTGCTGCTGAGTGAAACGGTTTTAACTGCCATTTTCACCTCAGAGAGTGAAGAGAGCGCTGACTGGAAACAGCCAGGAAGGAAATGGCTGCCAACTTTCTGAAGCCTTATCATTTCTAAGGCATGAAGCATATTTTAAAGACTGTTTAAAAGGACTGTTTATTCCCTCTGTTCTCTGTGAGAATTCAGAGACTGCTATTTATATTGTTGCTCTAATTGACCTTTTGAACTGAAGTAAAGATACTGTTACTCGTTACACAAATCTGAGCGATACATTATTATACTACAGAGTAGATTTTGGTTCAGAAACAGTGGTAAAGCTTCTGTTTATTTACATTTACAACCCCCAACAAAAGCCACCTCTGAGTGTTTCTGGCCTAAGAAAATCATGGGTTCCCCATAAGTCTACTTAAAGGCACATGCGTGTGCAAACACACACCATGAGGTCTTATGCAGTAGTCCCCACATCTGCTGGAATCTCTGACTGTTGACCAAGTCAGCTAAAACTTCTAGGACCTGAAGTCCAAAACTCCTGGAAAATTCAAAGTTTGGGAATCATTGGCATTTTTCAATTCTTTCCAAGAATTGTGACACCTGTGCTGGTACGGTTGTACCGGGAGCTCCAAACTCCCTTTTGTTCTTTGTGCGTTTGCATGTGCTTGTTCTGGCCATGCATTTTGCAGTTGGATAGTTCCTGCTAGGCTGCAGTCATGGGGCTAGCCACCTGTCTATCATTGTTAAGTTTTAGTTTCACCCTTTTTTCCAGGTTCAGGAGGGAAAGGGAACCATTTTAGTTCAGTCTTACAGTTGGAAGCTCAGCTACAGGACATGAAAGATTTCTACCTGTAGAGAAGCTTCGTTTCTTACAAAGTTCCAGGGGAAAACAGTCCTAAAAGCTCTGGCTGGGGAATTTACAGCCTCACAGCTTTAAGAACAGTCTCTAGAGAAAGGCTTTCAAGAATCATAGAATCAAAACGTTGGAAGAGACCTCATGGGCCATCCAGTCCAACCCCATTCTGCCAAGAAGCAGGAAAATTGCATTCAAATCACCCCTGACAGATGGCCATCCAGACTCTGCTTAAAAGCTTCCAAAGAAGGAGCCTCCACCACACTCCGGGGCAGAGAGTTCCACTGCTGAACGGCTCTCACAGTCAGGAAGTTCTTCCTCATGTTCAGATGGAATCTCCTCTCTTGTATTTTGAAGCCATTGTTCCGCGTCCTAGTCTCCAAGGAAGCAGAAAACAAGCTTGCTCCCTCCTCCCTGTGGCTTTCTCTCACATATTTATACATGGCTATCATATCTCCTCTCAGCCTTCTCTTCTTCAGGCTAAACATGCCCAGCTCCTTAAGCCGCTCCTCATAGGGCTTGTTCTCCAGACCCTTGATCATTTTTGTCGCCCTCCTCTGGACACATTCCAGCTTGTCAATATCTCTCTTCAATTGCGGTGCCCAGAATTGGACACAATATTCCAGGTGTGGTCTAACCAAAGCGGAATAGAGGGGTAGCATGACTTCCCTAGATCTAGACACTATGCTCCTATTGATGCAGGCCAAAATCCCATTGGCTTTTTTTTGCGGCCACATCACATTGTTGGCTCATGTTTAACTTGTTGTCCACGAGGACTCCAAGATCTTTTTCACACGTACTGCTCTCGAGCCAGGCATCATCGTCCCCCATTCTGTATCTTTGCATTTCAGAGAAACAGCTTTACAGCGCAACCCTTGTTGGGGTTGGAGAAACGGACCTACAACTTTCGTGGGAAAAATCCTAAGGACTCCAGCTGGAAATTCTTCAGAGCCTTGGCTGGTAGGTCTACTTGGGTACCCAAGAAGCAATTTGGAGCCGGGAGTAGGGTCCACACCAGCAAAGCCTAGAAAGCAGTTTGCCCAGGGAGGGGTCAAAGAGGGTTTTCCTCGTAAAGGAAAGTTCTCCAAGCAAGTTGCCTGTCCATTGCAGACAAGTTAAGAAGCATTTGTTTGATTTGTTGAAGATCTAAGATTGTTTGTTGAAGACCTAAGCAATAATAAAGAACTTGTTAAACTTTTAAGCTTCTAAAGACTTTGTATAGGAAAACCCATAGGGCCTCTCATCCGAGGCACCCTGGCTTCCCGCTGGGCACAAAGAGCACGTCCTGTTCAAAAGCCAATTGCTATAGGCCCAGCGCGTGACAGCACACCACCTGAGTGGACAATGTATCATTCATTCTTCAGCTTTTATTTCCACAGGTGAGATAAGACTACAACCCCCCATCCCAAAACTTCGGGGTGATCCTTACCCTGATTTTGATATCCGGGTTCTTGACATAGATGCTTCGGGCCCCGAGGGCCACCTCTTGAGTATAAAGGTCCGTGAGGAGGGCCATCACCTTAATCATGTTGTCCTGAGTCAAGTGGTGGCCATACTTCTCATAGCGGATGAGCAAAGTGACAGTCCGCTCTGGAAGGAAAAGAAAACCTTGTCAGGAGGGTGGACGGCAGCACCATCAAAGATGGCTTTAGCTTCCAAAGTCAGAAATCGCAAATAGAATCACAGAAACGTAGAGGTGGAAGAGGGCTCTACTATTATCTTCTCCAACTAAGGTCCTCAGTCCTTAAAATTTTATTTATTTATTTGCCATACTTGCACCCCGCCCTTCTCAACCCCGACAGGGGGACTCAAGGCAGCTTACAGTAGCACACACATCGTGCCTTGACAACAATTACCTAAACATTTCCCAAAAAAATGGCAACATATTAAAACAGAGTTAAAACAGATTAATATTAAAAACTTAGAAAACACACCATCCAAAGTTCATGGTCTGAGGTTCTTGTGGATCTTTTCGGGCTATATGGCCATGTTCTAGAGGCATTTCTCCTGACATTTCACCTGCATCTATGGCAAGCATCCTCAGAGGTAGTGAGGTCTGTTGGAATTAGTACAGTGGGTTTATATATCTGTGGAATGGCTGGGGTGGGGCAAAGAGCTCTTCTCTGCTGGAGCTAGGTGTGAATGTTTCAACTGACCACCCTCATTAGCATTTGAAGGCCTGGTTGAGCCTGGGAAAATCTTTTGTTGAGAGGAAACAACCAGGCACATCTTAACACCTCTCAATGCCGAGCCTCAAGGAATTGTGGGAGTTGAAGTCCACCACAGCTGGAGGGCCAAAGGTTCCCTACCCCTGCTCTAGAACATGGCCATATAGCCCGAAAAAAACGCACAAGAACCTAGTGATTCCAGCCATGAAAGCCTTCGACAATTCATGGTCTGAGTCCGTTCCAAGGTCAAATTGCACAAGATTTCAATTCAAAATACTGCATTGCCCTGGTTTCCAAAGGCCTGCTCATAGAGCTAGGTTTTGAGTCTTTTCCTAAAGGCTAATAGGGAGGGAATCGCTCTGATGTCACTAGGGAGAGAGTTCCACAACCGAGGGGCCAACACTGAGAAGGCCCTGTCTCTCATCCCTGCCAGCCGTGCTTGCGAGGCCAGCGGGACCGAGAGCAGGGTCTCCCTAGAAAATCTTAATCTACGTGCTGGTTTGTAGGGGGTGATATATTCGGACAGGTCATTATCATCATCATCATCATCATCATCTTTACTTATACCACGCCACCATCTACCCGATGGGGACTCGGGGCGGCTTCATAAGACTATGCAACCCTCCTACCATAGAATCATAGAATCATAGAATCAAAGGGGGACACGGGGGATAGGACTTCATATAGAATCATAGACTCATAGAGTTGGAAGAGACCTCATGGGCTATCCAGTCCAACCCCCTGCCAAGAAACAGGAATATTGCATTCAAAGCACCCCTGACAGATGGCCATCCAGCCTCTGTTTAAAAGCTTCCAAAGAAGGAGCCTCCACCACACTCCGGGGCAGAGAGTTCCACTGCTGAACGGCTCTCACAGTCAGGAAGTTCTTCCTCATGTAGAAAGACACCATTCTAAGCCCTCTGGACAGATGCTATTTTTAAAAAGTCAGAAAATGAGAGTCCACCAATTATTCCAGCTTCCTTCTTATGTCAGTAGACTGGAGCTGGATTTCTGAGTCATGGCAGTTACAGTGGCGTCAAACTATTAAATCAGTGTAGATGATCTCACAGCCACGTTCTTCTTCTGGGTCTTGCTGCTTCACCTGATCAAATGGCAAAAGAGAAAACAATGACACAAAAACTCAATGCTCACCTCCATATGGCTCCAGCGTGATGTTATTCAGGTCTTTGGATCTGATTTCGGGACCCAGCACCCCATTGTAGCTGACGATATGAGTGCCAAACTTAAGGTGGCACCGGTGTTCCTCCGCCGTGTTGTTGGTGAGGACAGCAAAGACTTTGAAGTCAGAGCCATTGTTGATGCCTTCAGAGGCTTTGATTCTGACCTTCAGTCCTCCCTCGGCTGGTGCTCGGTCCTTGCGATGTAGGGCCTTTTTGAAGACGGATCGCTCTTCCCTTGATCCTGCCAAGGGACACAGCCATGCCTTAAGTCCTCACCATCAACACTTGTTACATGCCCAGGAACCCAGAATATAAAAGGGCTATTTGGCCAGGGCTTCATGAACCCAAGTTTCTCAGTGAATCCTGGTCCTGGGGCTTGCTGAGACCTCATGGGCCATCCAGTCCAACCCCCTGCCAAGAAGCAAGGAAATTGCATTGAAAGCAGCCCCAACAGATGGACATTCAGCCTCTGCTTAAAAGCCTCCAAAGAAGGGGGCTCCATCACACTCCAGGGCAGAGAGTTCCACTGCTGAACAGCTCTCACAGTCAGGAAGTTCTTCCTCATGTTCAGGTGGAATCTCCTTTCTTGTAGTTTGAAGCCATGATAGCTGGTCACCACTTCTGCTGGTTGACTTTGATGGATTTGATTGAAATCATCTCTCTAAGAATTTTGGGACTTCCAGTGCAATTCTATGGTCAACCTCCAGCAGAAGTTGACCATAGAGTCATGCTGGAGAACCTACAAATTCCTAGGCAGAACCTTAAGGCCTCCATTGAGATTATATGGCCAACAGGCAGAAGTGGACCTTAGGTGCCCTTTTGTTCTGTCACTTCCAGAATCCCCTGGCCAGCTATGCTATGCTGTCTGAGGGATACAGGGAGTGGCAGTCCAAAAAGAAGAATTTTCCACAAAGGACTGCCACCATAAGTGAACACACTGCTTGAAGACACCTCCTTACACAAATAAAACCTAGAGGTTTCTGAGGTCTTCTCCCACCCTTGCTGCCCATCACCAACACATACACACACACTCCATAGCACTCCCATAAGAAGCTCTGCCCACCTTCAGGGTACTTGTAGTGATGGGTGATGTCCTTCCTGGTGTCCTTGCCCACACTCTTGGTGCTGATCTTCATGCCCACCAGGCTGGTGTGGGTGATCTTCTTCCAGGACATATCAGTCTGGCGCACATAATTCACCACGTCAGCATTGACCTCAGCGAAGACAAAGGGGACATCATATTTGACATGAAGGTCTCCCTCTTTAATGGCTTTGACGGGTGCTGGGCCACAGCAGAAAACACCTGCCGAACAGAAAGGAAGTGGTCAACAGGTGGAGAAACCCAGTGCAGTGAAGGAAGGTGAGTGCTTGAGAGGCATTTTGTCCAAATTCCATCATAGAGATCAAAAGTAGCCCATGGATATCTGCCCATCCTGCCTCCACAGATGGTCAGTCATCTGTCAAAATGAGAACTTACAAAGATGTTCTCAAGCTGAGATGACCACCTTGTAGTGGTCAGAACTTCTTCCTTTCTATCTGGGGAATTAAACATTCTCCATGCAAAGAATGGAACAATGGCAGTCTTGACCAAACTAGCACCCTAGAGATATACTGGATTACAAGTCCATGCTAGCTGTGGATGATGGGGGTTAGGATTGCTATACCATCGCTCAGTCCAATAAGATGGGAGTTCTTGACCACTGTCAAAGAGTGATGGGGAAAAGATCTCCAGGAATTGATTTGGAAGGCCGTGTTTTCCTGCATGAGACCACCCAAGCTTCATAACAATTTTAGACGATAGAGATACATGTTGTTATTCCACTTCACCATCCAGTGTGATGGAGTTTTGGGGCATTGTTGAAATGTGATGGAGGGAAAGACCTCCAGAAATGGATCTGGCAGACTATATTTCCCTGTATAAGACTGCCCAAGCTTCATGTTAGCTGTGGATGATGGAGCTGGATGTCATTCCATCTCACAGCCTAATGCAGTGGTTCTCAACCTGGGGTCCCCAGATGTTTTTGGCCTCCAACTCCCAGAAATCCTAACAGCTGGTGAAGTGGCTGGGATTTCTGGGAGTTGTAGGCCAAAAACATCTGGGGACCCCAGGTTGAGAACCACTGGCCTAATGGATGTTGATCACAAGGTTGCACTGAAGGACCTAGAGAGAATATAATCAAATCTGCCAAAGTTATACCCCTAAGTGTGAAGGGACAACCCTACAGATTCTGGTGAATTGTGTGTGAGGAGAACCCAAGGGAGTCTCAGTTCTCCCAGGTATTTAAATGACCTGTTACCTTCGCTTTTCTCCTGGGGAGTTGGGTCCAAAGCCTGCCACCCATCATATCCTGCTGCAAGATCTGGACGTCCCATCCAAGATTCAACCCAGCAGTGATAATTCCTACAGAAATCATGGGAAAGAAGCAGGCACAGATGACCAACTGCCATCATCATCATCATCATCATCATCATCATCATCATCAGTGGTTCTCAACCTTCCTAATGCCACGACCCCTTAATACAGTGCCTCATGTTGTGGTGACCCCCAACCATAAAATTATTTTCATTGCTACTTCATAACTGTAATGTTACTACTCTTATGAATCATAATGTAAATATCTGATATGCAGGATGTACTTTCATTCACTGGATGAAATTTGGCACAAATACCCAATACGCCCAAATTTGAATACTGATGGGGTTGGGTGTGGATTGATTTTGTCATTTGAGAGTTGTTGTTGCAAGGATTTATAGTTTGCCTACAATCAAAGAGCACTCTTAACTCCACCAACAATGGAATTGAACCAAACTTGGCACACAGAACTCCCATGGCCAACAGAAAACACTGGAAGGGTTTGATGGGCATTGACATTGAGTTTTGGAGTTATAGTTCACCTACATCTAGAGATCACTATGGGCTTCAACAATGATAGCTCTGGACCAAACCTAGCGCAAATACTCAATATGCCCAAATGTTCACACTGGTGGAATTTAGGGAAAATAGACCTTGACATTTCAGAGCTGTAGTTGCTGGGATTTATAGTTCACCTACAATCAAAGAGCATTCTGAACCCCACCAATGATAGAATTGGACCAAACTTCCCACACAGAACCCCCATGACCAGCAGAAAATACTGTGTTTTCTAATGGTCTTTGGTGACCCCTTTGGCAACCCCTCGCAACCCCCCCCCAGGGGTCCCGACCCCAGGTTGAGAAACATTGATCATAATCATCATCTCCTGCCTTTCTCCTGGTAATTGCACTCAAGATATCCAAAATATAACACATTAACAAAAGTATAGATATTAGGTTGGCATAGCAGTAAATCCTGGCCTTAGTTATCATCTCCCCAGACCACCACTTCCTGAATTCCATAGCATTGATTCATAGTACCAAAAGTAGTGTTAAAGTGCATCCATTCTACAGTGTAGGTGCACCCGAAATGGCCAAGGGGAAATTTGCCAACTAAATGGTGAGTTGGGGGTAAGAGGATGAACAAAGCATAGTTTCAACCTGTCAAATTGACTTTGACTTATGGCAACCTTATGAATGAAAGACCATCTTAATGTGGTGTCAAACTGCACCCATTCTACGGTGTAGATGCACTTATGGTTGCCCAGGGGAGACCTTTGGGGGCAGGAGTCTACTCACCAGATGGACTCCCGGCTTCTCGGCTGCCCATTCTGGTCCATGTATCGTTCTATGGCCAAGCTGCTGTTGGTGTCGTGGGCAGACTCGAAGGCACTGACCACGCGGGTGGGGATGCCCAGGCTCCTTAGCACTGCAAGCAAAGGGGAGACCACCAGAATAATCTATTTATTAGAACTTTTAAGAGCACATCTGCAGGGATTTGTTTGTTTGTCGTGTCAGAACAACCAGTGAAATTATATTACATTTCTAACAGAAACAAAGAAAACAAGCAAGTTACAAAATTTCTGAGTTTGGTAGTTGATTAAATGTCCTTTGACCAGTAGCTGGCCACTTGGAGTGCTTCTGGTGTTGCTGCAAGAAGGTCCTCCATTGTGCATGTGGCAGGGCTCAGGGTGCATTGCAGCAAGTGGTCAGTGGTTTGCTCTTCTCCACACTCGCATGTCGAGGATTCCACTTTGTAGCCCCATTTCTTGAAGGTTGGCTCTGCATCTCGTGGTGCCAGAGCGCAGTCTGTTCAGCGCCTTCCAAGTCGCCCAGTTTTCTGTGTGCCCAGGGGAGTCTCTCATTTGGTATCAGCCATTGATTGAGGTTCTGGGTTTGAGCTTGCCACTTTTGGACTCTCGCTTGCTGAGGTGTTCCAGCGAGTGTCTCTGTAGATCTTAGAAAACTATTTCTAGATTTAAGTCGTTGACGTGCTGGCTGATACCCAAACAGGGGATGAGCTGGAGATGTCTCTGCCTTGGTCCTTTCACTATTGGCTGCTACTTCCCGGCGGATGTCAGGTGGTGCAATACCGGCTAGGCAGTATAATTTTTCCAGTGGTGTAGGGCGCAGACACCCCGTGATAATGCGGCATGTCTCATTAAGAGCCACATCCACTGTTTTAGTGTGGTGAGATGTGTTCCACACTGGGCATGCATACTCAGCTGCAGAGTAGCACAGCGCAAGGGCAGATGTCTTCACTGTATCTGCTTGTGATCCCCAGGTTGTGCCAGTCAGCTTTCGTATGATATTGTTTCTAGCACCCACTTTTTCCTTGATGTTCAGGCAGTGCTTCTTGTAGGTAAGAACGCGGTCCAGAGTGACTCCCAGGTATTTGGGTGCGCTGCAATGCTCCAGTGGGATTCCTTCCCAGGTGATCCTCAGAGCTCGGGATGCTTGTCTGTTCTTGAGATGAAAGGCACATGTCTGTGTTTTAGATGGATTGGGGACGCAAACTTGGATCTGCAGGGATGCAAACTTGGGTCTCCTGGGGTCTCAGCATCATGCTGGCTCCATTGTTTCTGGTTTCTGGTGACCCTTCCAAGGGGTTTTTTTTTTCCCACCAAGAGCCATTGTGAGGTCTATCCTTGACTTCCACTAGGATTGTTGCCAAACCAATTTCTCAGTAGAGAAGCACGATATAGATTTTAGCTTTCAGCATTGTATAGTGGTGATCTGAGTCCTGTGAGTTATAGTTTTACAGAGTCCTTAGCCTTCTCGGCCAAAGAGTGGGGGTGCATCACCAAACTAGAACTCCCAGGATTCCATAGCATTGAGCCAGAGCAGTGAGCATAGTATCAAACTACATTATGTCTACAGTATAGATGCACCCTAAGCAGATCAACTTCCAAAGACTACAAAACTACAACTCTCAGGATTCCACAGCATTAAGCCCTGGCAGTGATAGTGGTGTCAAACTGCATTCATTTCACAGTGAAGATGCACCCAAAGAGGACTGCCTGGGAACCTTGGGAGGTATGATCCAGAGAGAGGAGTCTCCTTAAGCTTTAGGGGAGAATGGCATAGGGTGTGCGTGAAGACAGTGGGCTGAACTGTGTCTCTCATTTTCAAGGTTCCTCACCTGTGCATGCCACAGCTGCAAAGACCCAGCATTGCCCATAACAGACCGGTTGGCATCCAGACTTCTGCCACCTCTGAAGGATGTCCACACTTCCAGTCCAGGATAGGGGACTAATGCCATCATCGTACTGGTCGTCCCATCGTCCCCAGAGGATGCCTTTGTCATCATTGCAATTCACCTGCAAACCAAGAAAGCAGAGCGGATCAGAGCCAATGAATTCCACCCAGTTTTGTGTGATAAGTATGATGTGTGGATTGAATGAAATTGCATGATTGGTGTATACATTTTGCTAGAGTTTGTAAGCTGCTTTGAGACCCCTTCAGAATGAGAAAGTTGGGGTATACATAAAGTAAATAATAATAATAATAATAATAATAATAGTATGACTGAAACCTGGAAAAGACTGAAGACACCACCCTTAGAAAATTGGAACCTGGAAGAATGCCATTATGGAGAAACAAAAGGAGTTGAAAAATGTATGAACTGGGTTGTTGTAGGTTTTTCCGGGCTATATGGCCATGTTCTAGAGGCAGGAGTTATGACATGGCCATATAGCTCGGAAAAACCTACAACAACCCAGTGATTCTGGCCATGAAAGCCTTCGACAATACAATTTATGAACTGCTTAACTGTGGTTGAAAACAACATGTTTACATGGTCAAAGATAATGATTCTTTAAATTAAGGGAAAAAACACAATGCACCTTATGTAAGAAGGAAAACTAACATCTCTCAGGAACTAATTTGCAGGAACTTTTAAATTGCTGGCTCCCAGTTTGCTGACTTTAGCCTATAAAGCCCCAAATGGTTCAGGCCTACCCTACTTGAGAGACCACATCTCCTCCTACAAACTTGCACGAGCTCTGAGATCATCAAGAGAGGCCCTTTTCTCACTCCTACCACCATCACCAATGTCCAGGTATCTCCTGGAATAACCTCATGTCCAAAGTTCAAAAAGGAGATGGAATGTGTCTAGAGAAAGGCCACCAAATTAGTGAAAAATCTGGAAACCACGAATCCCTCTGAGGAGTAGCTTAGGGAGTTGGGGATGTTTGTCTTGAAGATCAGAAAGTGAAGAATCATAGAATCATAGAGTTGGAAGAAACCTCATGGGCCATCCAGTCCAACTCCTTTCTGCCAAGAAGCAGGAATATTATTATTATTATTATTATTATTATTATTATTATTATTATTATTATCTTTATTTGTACCCCGCTAGCTTCTCCCGAAGGACTCGATGTGGCTTACAAAGACCAAGAACATCAAGCAAAAAGTGGGCGCTAGAAACAATATCATATGAAAGCTGACTGGCACAACCTGGGATCACAACCAGACACAGTGAAGACATCTGCCCTTGCGCTATGCTACTCTGCTGCAGAGTATGCATGCCCAGTGTGGAACACATCTCACCATGCTAAAACAGTGGATGTGGCTCTTAATGAGACATGCGCATTATCAGGGTGTCTGCGCCCTACACCACTGGAGAAATTACACTGCTTAGCCGGTATTGCACCACCTGACATCCGCCGGGAAGTAGCAGCCAATAGTGAAAGGACCAAGGCAGAGACATCTCCAGCTCATCCCCTGTTTGGGTATCAGCCAGCACGTCAACGACTTAAATCAAGACATAGTTTTCTTAGATCTACAGAGACACTCGCTGGAACACCCCAGCAAGCGAGAGTCCAAAAGTGGCAGGCCCAAACCCAGCACCTCCATTCATGGGTGATACCAGATGAGAGACTCCCCCCTGGGCACACAGAAGACTGGGCGACTTGGAAGGCGCTGAACAGACTGCGCTCTGGCACCACGAGATGCAGAGCCAACCTCAAGAAATGGGGCCACAAAGTGGAATCCTCGACATGCGAGTGTGGAGAAGAGCAAACCACTGACCACCTGCTGCAATGCACCCTGAGCCCTGCCACATGCACAATGGAGGACCTTCTTGCGGCAACACCAGAGGCACTCCAAGTGGCCAGATACTGGTCAAAGGACATTTAACCAACTACCAAATTTGCAAAATCTGTATGTTTTTTTCTTTTTCTTTTTAATCTGTGTGTTTGTTTTGCTCTGTTAGAATTGTAATACAATGGTTGCTGATGACACGATAAATAAATAACCCCGCTAGCATCTCCCGAAGGACTCGATGCGGCTTACACAGGCCAAGGCCTCAAATACAACAGAACAATAAGCAAATTAAAACAGTAAAAGCAATACTAACAACAAGCAATAACAGTACAACAAGGACACTCTAAAACTGGGCCGGGCCAGGACGATGGGTACAGGATTAAAAAGTGCTGGTGTGACAAGTGGTGTGCAAGGGTAGGTAGGGCAAGTGCAGTGTGCAGCAATCTCGATTCTAATAAAGTGCTTTTGGGACTTGGTTAGAGATTCCTATTCCGGAAAGGCACATCGGAACAGCCAGGTCTTCAAGTTCTTTCTGAAGACTGCCAATGTAGGGGCCTGTCTAAGATCCTTTGGGAGGGTGTTCCAGAGTCAGGGGGCCACCACAGAAAAGGCCCTGTCTCGTGTCCCCACCAAGCGCGCTTGCGACGCAGGCGGAACCACGAGCAGGGCCTCTCCAGATGACCGGAGTGAGCGTGTGGGTTCATAGATGGAGATGCGGTCACGCAGGTAAAAGTTTGAATATTGCATTCAAATCACCCCTGACAGATGGCCATCCAGCCTCTGTTTAAAAGCTTCCAAAGAAGGAGCCTCCACCACACTCTGGGGCAGAGAGTTCCACTGCTGAATGGCTCTCACAGTCAGGAAGTTCTTCCTCATGTTCAGATGGAATCTCCCTTCTTGTAGTTTGAAGATCATTCGGAGTTTCGGACTGAGGTGTTATCTCTACGCATATGATGTTCAGATCTGTCACTCTCACCTGTCACCAAGGAGGCTGTCCAGACCTGCTGTGTCGGACTGGATGAGAGCTAACAAATTGAAATTGAATCCAGACAAGACAGAGGTCCTACTGGTCAGTCGGAAGGCCGAACAGGGCATAGGGTTACAGCCTGTGCTGGACGGGGTTATACTCCCCCTGAAGACGCAGGTTCGCAGCTTGGAGTGATCCTGGACTCATCACTGAGCCTGGAACCCCAGGTTTCGGCGGTGGCCGGGAGAGCTTTTGCACAATTCAAACTTGTGCACCAGTTGCGCACGTACCTTGGGAAGTCTGATCTGGCCACGGTGGTCCACGCTCTTGTTACATCCCGAATAGACTACTGTAACACGCTGTACGTGGGGTTGCCCTTGAAGACTGTCGGAAACTTCAACTGGTCCAGCGAGCGGCAGCCAGATTGCTCACCGGAGCGACATACAGGGAGCACACCACCCCCCTGTTGTGCCAGCTCCACTGGCTGCCGGTTCAGTTCCGAGCACAATTCAAGGTGCTGGTTTTGACCTACAAAACCCTATACGGTTCCGGTCCAGTGTATTTGTCCGAACGTATCTGCCTCTACGTCCCACCTCGGAGTTTGAGATCATCTGGGGAGGCCCTGCTCTCGACCCCACCACTCTCACAAGTGAGGCTGGTGGGGACGAGGAGCAGGGCTTTCTCAGTGGTGGCCCCTCACCTGTGGAACTCACTCCCGGGGGAAATCAGAGCATCATCATCCCTCCTCTCCTTCAGGAGGAGGGTGAAGACTTGGTTATGGGACCAGGCCTTTGGGCAACCAGGTAATTAAATAAAACAACCAGACGAGGAAGATCAGCAGGATTGGTGAAATGGAAAAATCAGAGCTATGAGATAGCGAACACTGACATTGGAGGAGGAGGAACTGGGTTTATATTGGGGTTTTTTAACTGATTTTATTGATTTTATTGGGATATTGTATGTACTGTGGGTAATTTTGAACTTGTTGTCATTTTGTGATGATTGATATGATGTAGGCATCTAATTGTGCCTTTGATGTTGTAAGCCGCCCTGGGTCCCCTTCCGGGTGAGAAGGGCGGGGTAAAAGAACCCCAAATAAATAAATAAATAAATAAATAAATAAATTGTTCCATTGCGTCCTAGTCTCCAGGGAAGCAGAAAACAAGCTTGCTCCCTCCTCCTCCTCCCTGTGGCTTCCTCTCACAAGAGGGGACAAGAGAGTCGTTTGAAAAATGCCACACCCAGGAGGAGGCAGGTTCGATGTCTGCTGCGCCGGAGACTAGGACACAATGGAACAATCGATTCAAACTGCAGGAAAAGAGATTCCACCAGAACTTCCTGAGAGTTAGAGCCAGGCATGTAGCCGGGGGGGGGGGCTTGGGGGCTTGAGTCCCCCCTGAAATTCTCATGGTGGTCCACGAAAAGGCCTTACTGGTACATTATTTTAACTGTTATGCTTATTCATATCATGAACTGATCACTATGCTCAATATATCTCATATGTATGGGGGTATTGAAGTAACAAAACGAAAGGTTTGCTAGGGTAGACCCTCTTTCACCCAGACTCAGCCCCCCAAATCAAACTTAGCGCCCCCCCTAATCGAAATCCTGGCTACTGGCCTGGTGCATAGCTGTGGAAACACTGCTGCCTGGGAGTCCAGTAGAGTCTCCTTCTCAGGGGAGTTTAAACTGAGACTGGATGGCCATCTGTTGGGAGGGCTTGGATTGTGTCTTCCTGCCTTGCAGAAGGGGGTAGGACTGGATGGCCTCTGGGGAATCCTTCCAACTGCACTGGATTTTGCACCTCCTTAAAAGTTCATACTGAAATGCAGTGGCCACAGCTACGATCCCATGATGGTTAGGCCACTTACTCACTGGGACGTCACGCCGGGGTGAAAGGAAAACTATATGTCTGGCTATTCCCGGTGGCTATCAGTATACCCTAAAAATAAAGACTCTTGAAACAGGATTAAAGTAAACCAAATAAGTTTACTGGAAACAAAAGGCAAAGCCAACTTCAGTCAGAGTTCTTAAAAGGTGAGTCAAAATAAAATATTGCAAAGACAAAGTTTGTTGGGTTGTTGTAGGTTTTTTTCAGGCTATATGGCCATGGTCTAGAGGCATTCTCTCCTGACGTTTCGCCTGCATCTATGGCAAGCATCCTCAGAGGTAGTGACTCACTACCTCTGAGGATGTTTGCCATAGATGCAGGCGAAACGTCAGGAGAGAATGCCTCTACACCATGGCCATATAGCCCGAAAAAAACCTACAACAACCCAGTGATTCCGGCCATGAAAGCCTTCAACAATACAACAAAGTTTGTTGATCGAATTTAGTTACACTGGAAATAAACACTTGACTATATTAATAAAATATGAGGTTAAACACTTGACTATAATTGTGGTAAGTCACTTGGTAAGTACTTGGCTATTAAAAGTAAAAATATTGGACTAAATGATTGGTTAAATGCTTGGTTATATTGACTTCAATAAAGTACTTGCCTAATGACATAATACAGAACTAAGATGGTAAAGTACAGAACTAAAATAACTATTAATAAAGGTACAAGCTATATTGGTAAAGCACTCTGGGCTATAGTGTCTATATGGTAAATATACAGCTAAGATGACTATGTGGTATATACTATAATGATGGTATGAATACAAAGCTATAAGGTATATACAGCTCCGAAGGTCTACAAGGTATATACAGTTGGTAAATATATGCAATGCTGGTAAATACGTGTTATAGAATGCCTGTTTAGATTGCCAGGCCAAGGAACCCAGACAATTTCTGGCCTTCTCCTCTAAAACTCTGGCACAGACTGAAAAGGAGGGGAAAGTATTTCAGAAAAGTTCTGAGGCAAAAAAAAAAAGGCTAAACCAACAGAATCAGGCCTCTGGGGGTTTTAAGCTCCATCCCTAAAACTAATCACAAATGGAAAAGTCCACACCAAAGGAAGAACAAACAAGGAAGTGAAACAGAGGAGGGAAAAGGCTAGGCCAAGACATCCCACTCACCATGGCACTGACCACCCGGCTGATGTAGACGGGGCTGTTACGGCGAGAGCAGTCCTTGTCCTGGTTGTGGAGGAATTTGGGGTTGCTGTCCAGCAGCTGCAGGCAGATGTCCACAATCCCTTCTTCAAACTGGGAGAAGGTGGAAAAGAGGATGAGCAAACACCTTTCTATAGTTCCAAAAGCCATGAAAGGATTGAAGGGAAACAACCCTCCATACATCCATGGAATGTGCATCTCTGTGTGCGTCCTCACTGTAGAATGAATGCAGTTTGGTGCCACTTTAACTGCTCATGGCTCAATCCATGGAGTGTACATCTCTGTGTGCATCTACACTGTTGAATGAATGCAGTTTGGCACCACTTTAACTGGCCATGGCTCAATGTGGCTTTACAATTCATTTATGTCTTCCCAGGGCATCTCTTTCCAAGAATGAATGCCAAGGCTAGCAAATAAGGAGAGAGAGAAAACATTCTCTTGCTGGAAACTGAATTTTTCAAAATTTGCATTGAAGCTGGGGGGGGGGGGGCAGAGTTAGAATGACAGAAGAGAGGGATAAATAGAAATAGAAGATAGATAAATTATGGAGAGCCAATAGAAAGACAGGCAGATAAAGAGAGTGAAGCTACAGATGGATAAAAGTGACAGAGAAACAGATTGAGGATAGATAGATAGATAGATAGATAGATAGATAGATAGATAGATAGATAGATAGGCAGACATAGACAGACAGACAGATAGGTGAATGATAGATTGGAGAGAGATGATAGACAAGACAGAAGATAGGCAGAAACAGAAGAGATAGAAGGAAATAGGAAATAGATAGAGGATAGATAATAGATAGATAGATAGAGAGATAGATAGATAGATAGATAGATAGATAGAGATAGATGAGAGAGAGAGAGAGAGAGAGATGATAGACAAGACAGGCAAAAATAGAAGGAAATAGAAAATATAGAGGATAGATCGATAGAGAGACAGATAAATAGATATATAGGTGACAGATAGGAGAGAGAGAGAGATGATCGACAAGACAGAAAATAGGAAAAATAGAAGAGAGGGAAGGAAATAGAAAATAGACAGAGGATAGATAGATAGATAGATAGATAGATAGATAGATAGAAAGAGAGAGAGATGATAGGCAAGACAGAAGACAGGCAAAAATAGAAGGAAATAGAAAATAGAAAGATAGAGGATAGATAGATGATAGATAGATAGATAGATAGATAGATAGATAGATAGATAGATAGACAGACAGATAAATAGATATACAGATGACAGACAGGAGAGAGAGAGATGATTGACAAGACAGAAAATAGGAAGAATAGAAGAGATGGAAGGAAATATAAAATAGAAAGACAGAGGATAGATAGATAGATAGATAGATAGATAGATAGATAGATAGATGATAGATAGATAGATAGACAGACAGACAGACAGGAGAGATGTGATAGACAAGAGGGAAAATAGGCAGAATAGAGAAGACGAAAGGAAATAGAAAATACAAAGATAGAGAATAGATAGACAGATAGACAGACAGACAGACAGATAGAGATAAATAGGAGAGAAAGAGATATATATGATAAGCAAGACAGAAGATAGGCAGAAATAGAAGAGACTGAAGGAAATAGAAAATAGAAAGAGGATAGATAGATCAATAGAAAGATAGACAGATAGACAGATGGATGGATGGATGGATGGACGGAGACGGACGGACGGACGGACGGACGGACGGACAGACAGACAGACAGACAGATGGGGGGAGAGAGAGAGATAGCAGGAAATAGAAAGATAGAGGATGGATGGATGGATGGATGGAGATGATAGATGACAAATAAAGAGAGAGATTTAAGGGAGATGGGGGGGGGGGGGTGAGAGCATGCCAAATAATGGTAGATGGTAGATAGATAATAGAAATAGCAGATAGCTAGATTGATAGATGGTAGATAAACAGAAGATGACTGATTCTGTCTATCTATCTTCCTGGGAAGCTGATAGATAGATAGATAGATAGATAGATAGATAGATAGATAGATAGATAGATAGATAGATAGACAGATAGACAGACAGACAGACAGACGGGTGGGCGGGTGGACAGGCAGGCAAGCAGATGGTAGTGAATAGTAGGGCTGGGCGGTTTCGTTAATTCGTAATTCGTTAATAATTCGTTAATTTTTTCAATTACAAAACGATAACGAACCATTCTGGAGCAATTATTAAAAAAAACGAATTTTCAAAAACGTTTTGTAAATGCTTCGTATTCCGATATTGTATTCGTTTCGTTATTGTTTTGAGGTCGTTTCGTTATTATTTCCGCATGTCTGGGCCAGTTTTATGGTTTAATTAGTGAAAAAAAATTATAATATCACACCAACAGTCAACAACAAGGGAGAGGGAAGCTTCAGAAGGTTTTGGAGGTTTTTTAGCGTATTTCGCGGTCGCGTCCGCCATTAACGAATCGATTCGTTATTGTTTCGGAAATCGATTCGTTAATTTTTTACCATTTACGAAATTTCGTAAATATCGAACTTTTTAAAAAGAAAATTTTGTAATTATTTTAAATATCGAAACAAAAAAACCCCCCAAATACAAATCGATTTTAGAAACAAATTTTTCCGTTGTTACCCAGGCCTAGTGAATAGATGTATCCACAGAGTAGATGCAGCAGTGGTTGCAAGCATCCTCTTTTCCCTTTAACCGCATGGCTCCATCCTATATGTGACGGCGCGAGTGGCGCCACCTATGTATAGAACTGTTAGTTGTAAGATTTAAACTGTTGTATCATGCTTAATCCTGCCCCTTTTTGCATTGCTTGTGTATTTGTATGGATTGGTTACTTGTAGCTGTCAATCAGCACTGTTTGGCTCCACCTCTTCCTGCAAGAGGGGAGAACTTCCTTTTCTTTTCATTCTGCCATCAGAGTTCCTGCAACATGGACGTGAGTAAAAGACTTCATTCTTAAAGGACCCTGTTTTAAGTTACCTCTTAGCACCAATTCTGAGGTTTTTTACCCCTGGGAGTCATGCTTTATGTCCAGATCATCCTGGACGATACTGAGGAGACCCAGGCGCCTTCAAGCCAGTTCTTTTGGCACCAGAGGAAGATCCTGAATCTTCAAAATAGGCCATCTGAATTGGGGTTGTCGTTTGCTCCGGCATTCACAGCCATTGAGGTAGAGGAAACCTGGTGAGGCTTCTCAGCTTCAAACCCCTTGGACCCAGGACTAATAGAGACTGTAAAGTGTGTTTTTCCTTCACCCCTCTAAAGTTTTCCAGTTCATTGCATTGAAGAAATGACTTTGTGACAAATAAAACTTATTTTGAGTTATTTACATCGTTTTGGGTTCTTGGGAGTTCCAGTTTCCTAAAGGAGGGCAAGAAGCAATCCCCTGGGGGAAAGGTGCCACGTCCATCCTCCTTTTAAGACTAATAGCCCCCAAGCGCGACGGCACACTATAGAACACTAGAATTTGTCTATAACTCGGTAACATATTTACACTTTATAGCAGTTTGATCCCACTTTAAATGTTACCCATGAGAGAAACCCACCTGCCCAAAGATCCAAGGGCAGCCAAAGATGAAATCCTGGGATCCTTGGTAGATCTGTCCATGTTGGGTGAGGACATATTCTACCCGGGCCTCTTCGCTTTTCATGAAGACAGTGTCATCTGAGCAAAGAGAAGAAAGACACAGGTGGAAGAGCAGAAGAGAAAACGGAGAGACAACCTGGCTCTGCGCAGGAAGGGGAACAGCCAGGGATCCAAATTGAACCAGTTCTTACTTTTGATGGATTTATTTATTTATTTATTTATTTATTTATTTATTTATTTCGATTACTTCTACCCCGCCCTTCTCACCAGGGGGGGGGGGACGGACGGACTCAGGGCGGCTTACAAAAGCGAGGCACAATTCGATGCCCGCATCGCAACAACAATAAAATACATAACATCAATTAACAAAACAGTAAATCTAGCAATAACATCAATTCACAGACATTAGTTCGTATAGGCAAGAATAATCATAAAAACTAAAATTGGCAACAGAACTAATACAAACCATTTCTCCTCATTAACGGTCAGTATTCCACCATCTCATAGTTCACTTTCCATACCACACAGTCAGTCCTTTCAGTCCTATCCATCTGGTTGTCCATGTCTAATTGTCAGATTGCCCAAAGGCCTGGTCCCACAACCACGTCTTTAACTTCCTCCTAAAGGCGAGGAGGGACGTTGATGCCCTGATTTCCCCAGGGATTGAGTTCCACAGGTGAGGGGCCACCACTGAGAAGGCCCTGCTCCTCGTCCCCACCAGCCTCACTTGTGATAGCGGTGGGGTCGAGAGCAGGGCCCCCCCAGATGATCTCAGATTCCAAGGTGGGACGTAGAGGGAGATACGTTCGGACAGATACGCGGGACCAGAACCGTAAAGGGTTTTGTAGAGCTGTGGAGCTGACACAACAGGGGGGTGGTATGCTCTCTGTATGTCGCTCCCGTAAGCAATCTGGCTGCCGCTCGCTGTACCAGTTGAAGTTTCCGAACAGTCTTCAAGGGCAACCCCACGTAGAGTGCGTTGCAGTAGTCTATTCGGGATGTAACAAGAGCGTGGATGCCCCTGTTCTAGGGCTCAAGTAATTACAGAAATGAATGTGGTAACTGAAGAGAAAAAGAAGAGAATAAAGACAGAAGAGGAAGACAATGAGGAGGAGGAGGAGAGGCTGAAGCTAAGGTCAGCCTTCTCTCTCCAGCGCCAACCTTTTTTCAGGATGGATTTCAGTTCCCTGTTATGGAAGTCAAATCAAGGTTCAATAACCGGAGTGGCCAACTCATTTTGCAAACGGGGAAAACCCATGTAATTTCGCAACCGCTGGCAAAATCTAAAATGCTTTGTCACCAAAAGAAGTGGCTTTTGCAAGGACTATAAAAAAAATGTGTCCCCAAGAATCTTATGCAATATACAAGGGAAGGAATGAACAGAGGGCCAGAGAGCTACGGGTTCAGCAATATGACAAGACAACAGATATCATGACCATTTTCTCCCCACATCAGCTGAAATCAGAAACTTTTTCCCTTCCCACTTTTGCTTTGGCATCCCTTGGGTCAGTGTTGTTTCAGCATCGTACTATTTGTAAAGGACAATAAGGGGAACAAAGGACCATTTTTGCAAGTGGCAAGCTGAGTGCTATCAGCAGGGTTCCTCCCTGGGCCCGGTCCTGTTTAAGATCTTAGAATCATAGAATCATAGAATCCAAGAGTTGGAAGAGACCTCCTGGGTCATCATCCAGTCCAACCCCATTCTGCCAAGAAGCAGGAATATTGCATTCAAATCACCCCTGACAGATGTCCATCCAGCCTCTGCTTAAAAGCTTCCAAAGAAGGAGCCTCCACCACACTCCGGGGCAGAGAGTTCCACTGCTGAACGGCTCTCACAGTCAGGAAGTTCTTCCTCATGTTCAGATGGAATCTCCTCTCTTGTAGTTTGAAGCCATTGTTCCCTTGCGTCCTAGTCTCCAGGGAAGCAGAAAACAAGCTTGCTCCCTCCTCCTCCCTGTGGCTTCCTCTCACATATTTATACATGGCTATCATATCTCCTCTCAGCCTTCTCTTCTTCAGGCTAAACATGCCCAGCTCCTTAAGCCGCTCCTCATAGGGCTTGTTCTCCAGACCCTTGATCTGCTCCCTCCTCCCTGTGGGTTCCTCTCACATATTTATACATGGCTATCATATCTCCTCTCAGCCTTCTCTTCTTCAGGCTAAACATGCCCAGCTCCTTAAGCCGCTCCTCATAGGGCTTGTTCTCCAGACCCTTGATCATTTTAGTCGCCCTCCTCTGGACACATTCCAGCTTGTCAACATCTCTCTTGAATTGTGGTGCCCAGAATTGGACACAATATTCCAGGTGTGGTCTAACCAAATCTTCATTAATGACGTAGAGGAAGGGTTAGAAGGCAGGATCATCAGTGGGTTGTTGTAGGTTTTTTGGGCTATATGGCCATGTTCTGGAGGCATTTTCTCCTGATGTTTCACCTGCATCTATGGCAGGCATCCTCGGAGGTTGTGTGATCTGTTGAAACTAGAAAATTGCGTTTATATATCTGTGGAATAATGTCCTAGGTGGGAGAAAGAACTCTTGTCTGTTGGAGGTAGGTATGAATATTTCAACTGGCCATTGTGCCGTTATACCCAGAGGCTTTATAAAAACGAACTATGATGTGCTGTCCCTATGTCTGGGCAAACCGCTGGGGCTTTCTGAAGAAAATTGGGATAATCAGCAATTGAGTCTATTGCGAGGTCTGAACATCAAAAGGATATTTATTTCAAAGTCTTGCAGACTTGGTACAGTTCTTTCAAGGTTGCAATCAAACAGTCAATAGATAAAATCTAGCCTGAAGAAGAGAAGGCTAAGAGGAGACTGGTTGCTCTGACGCGACAAATAAATAATCCAGGTCTCTTCTCCAGGAGAAGGAAGAAAGGATGGCAATGTATGTATGATGAATGAATGAATGTTTACGTGTGTGTGGATGCTGAATAAAAGGTAGTATCCTCTTTGTTTGTGTACCCAATGTAGTTATATAGAATCTGTGTGTCTACCTTCATTCTCTGCATAGTACCCAATACTCTGTCTAACTGTAAATGGAATAAAATAATATCTTGAACATTTAAAAAGTATTTCTGACACTCCATGTTTCAATCAGATCTTTAAGGGGGCCAAATCGTTTCCCCAAACACCTTGAATTTTAAGCCCTAAACCCAGAAGAAATGGAAAGTGGCACCTTCTACAAGGTGGACCTGAAGGATGCAACACAGCTTCCTACTGGCCAATCTGAGGAGACCTACCTGTGGACCATGGATTGAAGAGCAGGATGAACTCCCCCAGGTCGTAGCTGAACTCTTGACCTTCAGTGGAGATCTCCAGGGTCAGGTGGTAGCGGCCAATCCTGGCATCCGGAGGAGGGAAGATCGCTACGGTCAGGGAGGACCCATCCTGGCCTTCCACAGTGGAGCTCCATTTGGCCTTTTTCAGGGAGGAGGAGAGAGGGAAGGAAGAACTGGTCCCAGATGTCTGGATGGGGCGAGGACCTGGAAGAAGAGAAAAAGAGGAGGGAGAAGAGAAGAAAGATGGAGGAGGAGGAAGAGAATGAGGAGGAATGAAGAAGAGGAAGGAGAGAGAAAAGAAGAGAGAGGAGAAGTGGAGGAGGAAGAGGAAAAGAGAAGAAGAGAAGAAGAGAGAAGAGGAGAAGAAAGGAGAAGAGAGAGGGGAAAGGAGGAAGAAGGAGAAAGAAGAGAAGAGAAGAGAAGAGAAGAGAAGAGAAGAGAAGAGAAGAGAAGAGAAGAGAAGAAGAGAGCAAGGAGGAGAAGCAAAAGAGAAGCAGAGAGGGGAGAAGTGGAGGAGGAAGAGGAGAAAGAGAAGAGAAGAGAAGAAGAGAGCAAGGAGGAGAAGCAAAGGAGAAGCAGAGAGGGGAGAAGTGGAGGAGGAAGAGGAGAAAGAGAAGAGAAGAGAAGAAGAGAGCAAGGAGGAGAAGCAAGAGAAGCAGAGAGGGGAGAAGTGGAGGAGGAAGAGGAGAAAGAGAAGAGAAGAGAAGAAGAGAGCAAGGAGGAGAAGCAAAGGAGAAGCAGAGAGGGGAGAAGTGGAGGAGGAAGAGGAGAAAGAGAAGAGAAGAGAAGAAGAGAGCAAGGAGGAGAAGCAAAGGAGAAGCAGAGAGGGGAGAAGTGGGAAGAGAAGAGAAAGAAGAAGAGAAAGAGGAAAGGAAGGAGAGAAAGAGGAAGGGAAAAGGAAAGGAGAAGGAAGGATGGAAGCAAAAAAGAAGGAAGGAAGGAAAGAGGAAGAGAAGGAAGGAAGGAGAGAAGAGAAGAGAAGTAAAGAATAAAAGGAAAGAAAGAGAGCATGAAGGAAGGAGAGAAAGAGGGAGGGAATGAAAGAAGAGAAAGAGAGAAGGAGAGGAAAGAGAAAGAGAAGAGAAGAGAGAGAAGGAGAGAAGAAAGGAGAAGGGAGAGGGGAGAAGTGGAGGAGGAAGAGGAGAAGAGAAGAGAAGAGAAGAGAAGAGAAGAGAAGAGAAGAGAAGAAGAAGAGAGCAAGGAGGAGAAGCAAAAGAGAAGCAGAGAGGGGAGAAGTGGAGGAGGAAGAGGAGAAAGAGAAGAGAAGAGGAGAAAGAGAAGAGAAGAGGAGAGGAGAGGAGAAGAGAGCAATGAGGAGAGGGAGGACAAAGAAGAATTTATTTATTTACTTATTTCTATTCCACCCTTCTCACCCCGCAGGGGACTCAGGGCGGATCACAATGCACATATACATGGCAAACATTCAATGCCATAGACACACAACATATATAGATAGACACACAGAGGCTATTTAACTTCCCAGCTTCATGAGGGTATGCATTGAATTCTGGCCACTGGGGGAGCTGTTGCGTCACTGTCCAGTTGTGACACTGATGGAGTACTTCCTCATTCTTGCACAGATACATGGCAAACATTCAATGCCACAGACACACAACATAAGGTATTTAGAAAGACACACAGAGGTTATTTAACTTTCCAGCTTCATGAGAGTATCTTTGAATTCTGGCTGCCGGGGGAGCTGTTGCGTCACTGTCTACTTGTGACACTGATGGACTACTTCCTCATTCTTTTGCACGCTGCTGGAGAGTTTTATGGCATCGTGAATTAGTTAAATTAGCCTCCTCGTAGGAGGTACCTAAATTTCCTACTTGACAGATGCAGCTGTCTTTCAGGCTGCAAAGGTCGACAGCAAGCTAGACAAATGGTCGGGAGCTTACTCCGACCCAGGCTGGCTTCGAACTCATGACCTTTCAGTCAGTAGTGATTTTAATGCAGCTGCGCCACAACCCAAAGAAGAGAAGAAAGCAGATGGAGGAAGAAGAAAAGAGGAACAGGAGAAAGGAGAAGGAAGAAGAGGAGAAGTGAAAGAAAAAAAGAGGAAAAAATAAAGAAACGATTAAGAAAATTATGAGCATCAACTTTCCCCATGGGAATTTAGCAAGGCCACCCCTAAGCAGGGGCTGTGAAGGAGTAGCTTTGGAGAGGAATGTCTTTTGAGGGAAGAACCAAACAAGAGAAACCAAGATATTGGGGCATAACTCCCAGAAGAGCACAGAAAACAGAGTGGCGCAGCAGAAGCATGCATGTTGCAGATGCCTGTCTGTGATTGCAAATCATAGAATCCTAGAATCAAAGAGTTGGAAGAGACCTCCTGGGCCATCATCCAGTCCAACCCCATTCTGCCAAGAAGCAGGAAAATTGCATTCAAATCACCCCTGACAGATGGCCATCCAGCCTCTGCCTAAAAGCTTCCAAAGAAGGAGCCTCCACCACACTCCGGGGCAGAGAGTTCCACTGCTGAACGGCTCTCACAGTCAGGAAGTTCTTCCTCATGTTCAGATGGAATCTTTCTTTCTTGTAGTTGGAAGCCATTGCTCCATTGCGTCCTAGCCTCCAGGGAAGCAGAAGACAAGCTTGCTCCCTCCTCGCTGTGGCTTCCTCTCACATATTTATACATGGCTATCATATCTCCTCTCTGCCTTCTCTTCTTCAGGCTAAACATGCCCAGCTCCTTAAGCCGCTCCTCATAGGGCTTGTTCTCCAGACCCTTGATCATTTGAGTCGCCCTCCTCTGGACACATTCCAGCTTGTCAATATCTCTCTTGAATTGTGGTGCCCAGAATTGGACACAATATTCCAGTTGTGGTCTAACCAAAGCAGAATAGAGGGGTAGCATGACTTCCCTAGATCTAGACACTATGCTCCTATTGATGCAGGCCAAAATCCCATTAGCTTTTTTTGCCACCACATCACATTCCTGGCTCATGTTTAACTTGTTGTCCACGAGGACTCAAGATCTTTTTCACACGTACTGCTCTCGAGCCAGGCCTCATCCCCCATTCTGTATCTTTCCATTTCCTTTTTTCTGCCTAAGTGGAGTCTCTTGCATTTGTCACTGTTGAACTTCATTTTGTTAGTTTTGGCCCATCTCTCTCATCTGTCAGGATCGTTTTGAATTCTGTTCCTGTCCTCTGGAGTATCAAGGGCAACCTAAATACTACTTCTTTTGGGGACCCCTGATATAAGATTCTACAGTTCTAAGGTGGTTCATGCCTTCAGTTGGGCCAAAGCAAAACTCACCGGTCTTGACGTGGAAGGTGAGCTTGTCCACCTCTTTGTTGAAGGACCTCTTGGAGAAGTGCAGCGTCACAAGGAAGGACTGGCCCCGGCGCACAAGGAGACGCTGGGAACCGGCGTCGGAGGTCCGGTGGTCCTTGTTGTTGCGTTCACATTGCAGGTCCCAATTCGCCAAGAGCAGTGCTGTCAAGAAAAGAGAGAAAGTGGACAAGAAGTTCCCTTTGGACTGTTTTTTTCTGAAAGACTGTGCAGGAATTCCCAAAGATATGTAGATCAGTGGTTCTCAACCTACCTAATGTCACAACCCCTTAATACAGTTCATAGAATCATAGAATCATAGAATCAAAGAGTTAGAAGAGACCTCCTGGGCTATCATCCAGTCCACCCCCATTCTGCCAAGAAGCAGGAATATTGCATTCAAAGCACCCCTGACAGATGGCCATCCAGCCTCTGCTTAAAAGCTTCCAAAGAAGGAGCCTCCACCACACTCCGGGGCAGAGAGTTCCACTGCTGAATGGCTCTCACAGTCAGGAAGTTCTTCCTCATGTTCAGATGGAATCTCCTCTCTTGTAGTTTGAAGCCATTGTTGCATTGCGTCCTAGTCTCCAGGGAAGCAGAAAACAAGCTTGCTCCCTCCTCCTCCCTGTGGCTTCCTCTCACATATTTATACATGGCTATCGTATCTCCTCTCAGCCTTCTCTTCTTCAGGCTAAACATACCCAGTTCCCTAAGCCGCTCCTCATAGGGCTTGTTCTCCAGACCCTTGAGTTCCTCAAGTTGTGGTGACCCCCAACCATAACATTATTTTTGTTGCTACTTCATCACTGTAATTCCGCTACTGTTATGAATCGTAATATAAATCTCTGATATGCAGGTTGGATTTTCATTCACTGGACCAAATTTGGCACAAATACCCGATACGCCCAAATTTGAATACTGGTGGGGTTGGAGGAGATTGATGTTGTCATTTGGGAGCTGTAGTTGCTGGGATTTATAGTTCGCCTACAATCAAAGTGCTTTCTGAACTCCACCAACGATGGAACTGAAGCAGACCTGGCCACACAGAAATCCCATGACCAACAGAAAATGCTAGAACAGTGGACATTGACCTTGAGTTTGGGAGTTGTAGTTTACCTAAATCCAGAGAGCACTGTGGACTCAAACAATGATCAATCTGGACCAAACTTGGCACTAATACTCAATTTATAATCCCTCATCCACTCCATCTCGCTGAGGTTGAAGATTACTTTCTTTTTGTGATACACCCAAATTTGAATACTGGTGGGGTTGTGGGGGGGGGGTGTGATTTTGTCATGTGGGAGTTGTAGTTGCTGGGATTCCTAGTTAACCTACAATCAAAGAGCATTCTGAACTCCACCAATGATGGAATTGAACCAAACTTGGCACACAGAACTCCCATTACCAATGGAAAATACAGGATGGGTTTGGTGGGCATTGGCCTTGAGTTTGGGAGTTGTAGTTCACCTAAATTCAGAGAGCACTGTGGACTCAAACAATGATCAATCTGGACCAAATTTGGCATGATCACTCAATATGTCCAAATGTGGACTCTGGTGGAGTTTGGGGAAAATAGACCTTGACATTTGGAAGTTGTAGTTGCTGGGATTTATAGTTCGCCTACAATCAAAGAGCTTTCTGAACTCCACCAACGATGAAATTGAATCAGACCTGGCCACACAGAAATCCCATGACCAACAGAAAATGCTAGAACAGTGGACATTGACCTTGAGTTTGGGAGTTGTAGTACACTTAAATCCAGAGAGCACTGTGGACTCAAACAATGATCAATCTGGACCAAAGTTGGCATGAACACTCATTATGTCCAAATGTGGACTCTGGTGGAGTTTGTGGGAAACAGACCTTGACATTTGGGAGTTGTAGTTGCTGGGATTTATAGTTTGCCTATAATCAAAGAGCTTTCTGAACCCCACCAACGATAGAATTGAATCTAGACCTGGCCACACAGAAATCCCATGACCAACAGAAAATGCTAGAACAGTGGACATTGACCTTGAGTTTGGGAGTTGTAGTTCACCTAAATCCAGAGAGCACTGTGTACTCAAACAATGATCAATCTGGACCAAACTTGGCATGAATACTCAATATGTCCAAATGTGGACTCTGGTGGAGTTTGGGGAAAATAGGCCTTGACATTTGGGAGTTGTAGTTGCTGGGATTTATAGTTCACCTACAATCAAAGAGCATTCTGAACCCCACCAATGATTGGGTCAAATGAGTTGGGCCAAACTTCCGACACAGAACCCCCATGACCAACAGAAAATATTGTATATTCTGATGGTCTTCGGGGACCCCTCTGACACCCCCTCGTGACCCTCCCCAGGGGTCCTGACCCCCAGGTTGAGAAGCACTGATATAGATAATCAATTTGTGCAATACACAATAGCTGTGGACTTCTGCAGACTTCTCCAACAGCTAAAAACTTTGTCGAAGGCTTTCATGGCTGGAATCACTAGGTACTTTTGGGTTTTTTCGGGCTATATGGCCATGTTCTAGAGGCATTTTCTCTTGACGTTTCGCCTGCATCTATGGCAAGCACCTCACTGCCTCTGAGGATGCTTGCCATAGTTGCAGGTGAAACGTCAGGAGAAAATGCCTCTAGAACATGGCCATATAGCCCGAAAAAAACCCACAAGAACCTAGCTCAAAGCTTTCCTCAGTCTTGTCACATTTACCCTGTTTTTGGAAGTAAAAAAAGGTATACAAATCAAAGACACCAGGGATGCAGTTTTGCCTTTCCTACTAAATTGGAAGAGATGCTCTCCCTTATATACTCGAGTATAAGCCGACCCGAATATAAGCCAAAGCACCTAAATTTACGGCAAAAAAAAAAAGGAAAACATTGAGACGAGTATAAGCTGAGGGTGAAAAATGCAGCCGCTACTGGTAAATTTCAAAATAAAAATAGATAGCAATGAAATTATATTGAGGCCTCAGTAGATTAAATGTTTATGAATATTTACATAAAATTGTAATCTATATAGATAAAAATATAATGTTCGTTTGTGGGATTAACAGAACTCAAAAACCGCTGGACGAATTGACACCAAATTTGGACACAAGACACCTCACAATGCAATGTATGTCCTTCACTCAAAAAATTTTGATTTTGTCATTTGGAAGTTGTAGTTGCTGCGATGTATAGTTCACCTGCAATCAAAGAGTATTCTGGACCCCACCAACGATGGAATTGGACCAAACTTGGCACACAGTTCTCCCATGACCAACAGAAAATACTGGAAGGGTTTGGTGGGCAGTGACCTTTGGTTTAGGAGTTGTAGTTCACCTACATCCAGAGAGCACTGTGGACTCAAACAATGATAGATCTGGACCAAACTCTACACGAATACTCAATATGCCCAAGTATGAACACTGGTGGAGTTTGGGGGGAAAAGAATCTTGACATTTGGGAGTTGTAGTTGCTGGGATTTATAGTTCACCTACAATCAAAGAGCATTCTGAACCTCACCAATGATAGGATTGGGACAAACCTCACACAAAGAACCCCCATGTGGATCACAGCAACACGTGGCAGGGGATGGCTAGTTTAAGATAAAACTGTCCTATTCTGATTACTTCCCTAGATCTAGACACTATGCTCCTATTGATGCAGGCCAAAATCCCATTGGCTTTTTTTGCCGCCATGTCACAGTCCTGGCTCATGTTTAACTTGTTGTCCACAAGGACTCCAAGATCTTTTTCGCACGTACTGCTCTCGAGCCACATATTGTCCCCCATTCTGTATCTTTGCATTTCGTTTTTTCTACCTAAGTGGAGTATCTTGCATTTGTCACTGTTGAACTTCATTTTGTTAGCTTTGGCCCATCATCTCTCTAATCTGTCAAGATCGTTTTGAATCCTGCTCCTGTCCTCTGGAGTCTTGGCTCTCCCTCCCAATTTGGTGTCGTCTGCAAACCGGATGATCCTGCCTTCCAGCCCTTCATCTAAGTCATTAATAAAGATGTTGAACAGGATCAGGCCCAGGACAGAACCCTGCAGCACTCCACTTATCACTTCTTTCCAGGATGAAGAGGAATATATGCATACATAAACATTAAAAACATTTAAAAACATTTATCTCAATATTGAAATACACCATTTAAAACCGTCCTAGTTATCAGCGTCAAATCTAATTGGCCTGGTTATCTTTCCTATTGCTGCTTTATTGCCCTGAAAGATATTATTATTATTATTATTATTATTATTATTATTATTATTATTATTTGAAACATAACAAGATGAGTCCACAGCAGACACTCTTCTGGCCATTGAATTGGATCACACGTCGAACACTTCCCAAGTGTCTAGGACTGTGTGATGTACTGTATCATAGGGATCACTGAAACCTGGTGGGATGACTCCTATCGCTGGAATGTAGATATCGAGGGGTATAACCTCTTTCGCAGAAACCGAACAAAGGGGAGAGGAGGCGGAGTAGCCTTATATGTCAAAAACTCTTATGCTGCAGAAGAGATTCAAGACAGCAATCTGGGAAACCAGCTTGAAATCATCTGGATAAGAATCAAGGGAACTGGGACTCAAAAAGATGTCGTTGTAGGCGTCTACTACAGACCCCCAAGCCAGGAGGAAGAACTTGATGAAGTCTTCTGCCAACAGTTGACCAAACAGGCACAGAGAAGAGATGTAGTAGTCATGGGCGATTTCAACTATCCCGATATTTGCTGGAAAACAAACTCGGCCAAGAGTACAAGGTCCAACAAATTCCTCGCTTGCCTTGCAGACAATTTCATGGTCCAGAAGGTAGAAGAGGCAACAAGGGGATTGGCTACTCTTGATCTCATCCTAACAAATGCGGAGGACCTGATCGATGCTGTCGAAGTGGTAGGATCCTTAGGGGCAAGTGACCATGTGCTCCTGCAATTTGAGGTACAAAGGAAGGCCGAAACTAAGACAAGTCAAACCCGCATTCTGGACTTTAGGAGAGCTGATTTCCAAAAAATGAAGGAAACACTGAGCAGCATTCCGTGGACACAGATAGTAAAAGACAAGGGAGTTACGGATGGATGGGAATTTCTCAAGAGTGAAATACTCAAGACGCAATTGCAAACCGTGCCAACAAAGAGAAAAAATAGGACAAGTGCAAAGAAGCCAGAATGGATGTCCAAAGAACTTCTAACTGTGCTAAGACACAAAAGAGACATGCACAAGAAGTGGAAAAAGGGAGAAATCACCAAAGAATTCAAACAAATAGCCAACACCTGTAGGGAAAAGGTCCGCAAGGCTAAAGCACAAAACGAGCTCAGGCTTGCCAGGGACATTAAAAACAATAAAAAGGCTTCTTTCTTATGTCAGTAGAAAAAGGAAAAACAAGGAGGCGATAGGGCCTCTTCGAGGAGAAGACGGGGCAATGCTGACAGGGGATAGGGAAAAGGCAGAACTACTTAATACCTTCTTTGCCTCGGTCTTCTCACAAAAAGAAAGAAGGCTGAGAGGAGATATGATAGCCATGTATAAATATGTGAGAGCCACAGGGAGGAGGGAGCAAGCTTGTTTTCTGCTTCCCTGGAGACTAGGACGCAGAACAATGGCTTCAAACTACAAGAGGAGATTCCATCTGAACATGAGGAAGAACTTCCTGACTGTGAGAGCCGTTCAGCAGTGGAACTCTCTGCCCCGGAGTGTGGTGGAGGCTCCTTCTTTGGAAGCTTTTAAACAGAGGCTGGATGGCCATCTGTCAGGGGTGATTTGAATGCAATATTCCTGCTTCTTGGCAGGGGTTTGGACTGGATGGCCCATGAGGTCTCTTCCAACTCTTTGATTCTATGATTCTATGGAAATGTGTGCAGATCCCAGTAAGGTGGCCTTCTGCAGCTGGCAGATGGTAATTTTGTCAGCCGATTGTGTTTAAGTGCAGGCCAAGGTCTTGAGGCACTGCACCCAGTGTGCCGATCACCACTGGGACCACCTTGACTGGTTTGTGCCAGAGTCTTTGCAGTTCAATCTTTAAATCCTCATATTGTGTCAGCTTTTCCAGTTATTATTATTATTATTATTATTATTATTATTACTATTGATATTTGTTGAAACTTTAATACACTGCAGAAAGCCCATGCTTGACCACATTCCCTTCCCTTTATGGTGCCACATTCCCCCCAAAAGTCATTTACAGACAATAATAAATGTAATATTAATAAAGGGTAAAACAATACATGCAATAACAACAAGAGTAAATAATGTAAATGTAATAATGATGATGATGATACAGAGAGTAAAATAAGAAATGCAATAAAATAATACTAATAACAGAGTAAAATAATAAATAACCTTGATACGAGTATAAGCCAAGGGGAGATTTTTCAGCCTAAAAAGGGGCTGAAAAACTAGGCTTATACTCAAGTATATACAGTATCTTTTTGAACTGCTTTGGTGAGAGCACTTCTTTCAACAAGTTCCTTTCAGAGGGAACATTTGCCATTTATACAGCAAAATGAACAAGCTAATGGTAGATGCTCATCCCAGCCTTGAGTATCACGTGGATGGAGCAATGGACACATGCATGACATGCACATAGGTATAGAATCAAAGAGTTGGAAGAGACCTCATGGGCCATTCAGTCCAACCCCATTCTGCCAAGAAGCAGGAATATTGCATTCAAATCACCCCTGACAGATGGCCATCCAGCCTCTGTTTAAAAGCTTCCAAAGAAGGAGCCTCCACCACACTCCGGGGCAGAGAGTTCCACTGCTGTACGGCTCTCACAGTCAGGAAGTTCTTCCTCATGTTCAGATGGAATCTCCTCTCTTGTAGTTTGAAGCCATTGTTCCATTGCGTCCTAGTCTCCAAGGAAGCAGAAAACAAGCTTGCTCCCTCCTCCCTGTGGCTTCCTCTCACATATTTATACATGGCTATCATATCTCCTTCTCAGCCTTCTCTTCTTCAGGCTAAACATGCCCAGCTCCTTAAGCCGCTCCTCATAGGGCTTGTTCTCCAGACCCTTGATCATTTTAGTCGCCCTCCTCTGGACACATTCCAGCTTGTCAATATCTCTCTTGAATTGTGGTGCCCAGAATTGGACACAATATTCCAGGTGTGGTCTAACCAAAGCGGAATAGAGCATGGCGAGCATGACTTCCCTAGATCTAGACACTAGGCTCCTATTGATGCAGGCCAAAATCCCATATGCTATCATATTACCCCTTCTGTTGGATCTCCACATGTTGCAGGGAGCAGATTGCAATAACTGTATTACAAAATCTAGAAATACAGAGAGAAAGCCAAAGGGCCCTTGAAAAGTTTCCTTCCCTTTGTGCGTTCATTACCTGTAGTCATCCTGTTGTTCACTGGATTGATCCAAGTCCTTTCTGTTCTGCTTGGCCTTCTGTGGCTTCTTCTATCTGCTGACAGCCCAACAGTACCAAACTTACTTCCAAACACACACACATATATATACAGCAATCCAAAGCACACACCCCTGTGATGGGTGAGCATCAGGGGTCAAAAGAGGAACCAGAGGATTTCTAGAGAAAGGCAAGGAATACTTAAGAAATTCAGATGGCGGAGCCAGGAGGTGAAGGACACACTGCTTTGCAGGTCAAGAGAAGTTTTGGGTGGCAAACGAGCCCCGTACAGCTTCATGGCATCTCAGCAGAGACTCCCATCTCATGCATAGTGCCAACTAGCCCTGTAGTTGGAGGGGGGGGGGGTAGGGGTTCAAAGTAAGTACTGTGCAGTGTTTGAAGATGTTGGGGTGTAAAGCTGGTCATCAGAAGCTTGGTGCATTGGTTGCTCAACCATTTGTGCAATGGAAAAATGCAATAGAAGTCTTATAGAATCCTAGAATCAAAGAGTTGGAAGAGACCTCCTGGGCCATCATCCAGTCCAACCCCATTCTGCCAAGAAGCAGGAATATTGCATTCAAATCAACCCTGACAGATGGCCATCCAGCCTCTGTTTCAAAGCTTCCAAAGAAGGAGCCTCCACCACACTCCGGGGCAGAGAGTTCCACTGCTGAACGGCTCTCACAGTCAGGAAGTTCTTCCTCATGTTCAGATGGAATCTCCTCTCTTGAAGTTTGAAGCCATTTTCCTTTGTGTCCTAGTCTCCAGGGAAGCAGAAAACAAGCTTGCTCCCTCCTCCCTGTGGCTTCCTCTCACATATTTATACAGCTATCATATCTCCTCTCAGCCTTCTCTTCTTCAGGCTAAACATGCCCAGCTCCTTAAGCCGCTCCTCATAGGGCTTGTTCTCCAGACCCTTGATCATTTTAGTCGCCCTCCTCAGGACACATTCCAGCTTGTCAATATCTCTCTTGAATTGTGGTGCCCAGAATTGGACACAATATTCCAGGTGTGGTCTAACCAAAGCGGAATAGAGCATGGGAGCATGACTTCCCTAGATCTAGACACTAGGCTCCTATTGATGCAGGCCAAAATCCCATATGCTATCATATTACCCCTTCTGTTGGATCTCCACATGTTGCAGGGAGCAGATTGCAATAACTGTATTACAAAATCTAGAAATACAGAGAGAAAGCCAAAGGGCCCTTGAAAAGTTTCCTTCCCTTTGTGCGTTCATTACCTGTAGTCATCCTGTTGTTCACTGGATTGATCCAAGTCCTTTCTGTTCTGCTTGGCCTTCTGTGGCTTCTTCTATCTGCTGACAGCCCAACAGTACCAAACTTACTTCCAAACACACACACATATATATACAGCAATCCAAAGCACACACCCCTGTGATGGGTGAGCATCAGGGGTCAAAAGAGGAACCAGAGGATTTCTAGAGAAAGGCAAGGAATACTTAAGAAATTCAGATGGCGGAGCCAGGAGGTGAAGGACACACTGCTTTGCAGGTCAAGAGAAGTTTTGGGTGGCAAACGAGCCCCGTACAGCTTCATGGCATCTCAGCAGAGACTCCCATCTCATGCATAGTGCCAACTAGCCCTGTAGTTGGAGGGGGGGGGGGGGAGGGGGTTCAAAGTAAGTACTGTGCAGTGTTAGGAGAAGTTGGGGGTAAAGGTGGTCATCAGAAGCTTGGTGCATTGGTTGCTAAACCATTTGTGCAATGGAAAAATGCAATAGAAGTCTTATAGAATCCTAGAATCAAAGAGTTGGAAGAGACCTCCTGGGCCATCATCCAGTCCAACCCCATTCTGCCAAGAAGCAGGAATATTGCATTCAAATCACCCCTGACAGATGGCCATCCAGCCTCTGTTTAAAAGCTTCCAAAGAAGGAGCCTCCACCACACTCGGGCAGAGAGTTCCACTGCTGAACGACTCTCACAGTCAGGAAGTTCTTCCTCATGTTCAGATGGAATCTCCTCTCTTGTAGTTTGAAGCCATTCTTCCATTGCGTCCTAGTCTCCAGGGAAGCAGAAAACAAGCTTGCTCCCTCCTCCTCCCTGTGGCTTCCTCTGACATATTTATTATACATGGCTATCCATATCTCCTCTCAGCCTTTTCTTCTGCAGGCTAAACATGCCCAGCTCCTTAAGCCGCTCTTCATAGGGCTTGTTCTCCAGACCCTTGATCATTTTAGTCGCCCTCCTCTGGACACATTCCAGCTTGTCAATCTCTCTCTTGAATTGTGGTGCCCAGAATTGGACACAATATTCCAGGTGTGGTCTAACCAAAGCAGAATAGAGGGGTAGCATGACTTCCCTAGATCTAGACACTATGCTCCTCTTGATGCAGGCCAAAATCCCATTGGCTTTTTTTGCCGCCAAAGCAGGAGCCTCCACCACACTCCGGGGCAGAGAGTTCCACTGCTGAACGGCTCTCACAGTCAGGAAGTTCTTCCTCATGTTCAGATGGAATCTCCTCTCTTGTAGTTTGAAGCCATTGCTCCATTGCGTCCTAGTCTCCAGGGAAGCAGAAAGGAAGCTTGCTCCCTCCTCTCTCCCTGTGGCTTCCTCTCACATATTTATACATGGCTATCATATCCCCTCTCAGCCTTCTCTTCTTCAGGCTAAACATGCCCAGCTCCTTAGCCTGAAGAAGAGAAGGCTGAGAGGAGATATGATAGCCATGTATCAATATGTGAGAGGAAGACAAGAGAATGCTTCTAGAACTTGGCCATACAGCCCGAAAAACTTACAACAACCCACTGATTCCAGCCATGAAAGCCTTCGACAACACATAAAACAACTTGTGCTTGGCTGAAAACTTCTTGCTAATTCACAGTGGAAAATGTCCTCATGTAACCCGTCATCATGAAAAAGGAAAGCAGAAGAAAGCAGAAAGACGCTTCTGCTAATTGTGGAAACTATGGTTCTTTTTGGGTGACAGGAACTGGCTTTAAGAGGAAGCAATGATTCTTAGGCAGAAAAAAATGAAATGCAAAGATACAGAATGGGGGACGCACGGCGCGCAAGCAGTACGTGTGGAAAAGATCTTGGAGTCCTCGTGGAAAAGTTAAACATGAGCCAACAATGAGATGCAAAAGCAAAAAAAAAGCCAATGGGATTGTGGTCTGCATCAATAGGACTATAATGTCTAGATCCAGGGAAGTCATGCTCCCCATGCTCTATTCTTCTTGGAGAACGGGAGAAGTTCCAGCAGACTGGAAGAGGGCCAATGTGGTCCCAATCTTCAAGAAGGGAAAAAAGGATGACCCAAACAATTACCAATGTCCGGTCAGCCTCACGTGAATACCAGGTTCTGGAAAGGATTGTTAAGGAAGCGGTCTGCAAACACTTAGAAAGAAATGCAGTCATCGCTAATAGTCAACATGGATTTATCAAAAACAAGTCATGCCAGACTCATCTGATCTCTTTTTTCGATAGAGTTACAAGCTGGGTAGATGCGGGGAATGCCATGGATGGAGCGTGTCTGGATTTCAGGAAGGCCTTCGACAAGGTCCCCCATGACCTTCTGGCAAGGAAACTAGTCCAATGTGGGCTAGGCAAAACTACGGTGAGGTGGATCTGGAATTGGTTAAATGGACGAATTTGGAGGTCGCGACCCCAGGGGGGGACATTGGGCCATTTTTGGGGGGTCGCAAAGGTGCCTTGGATGGCCCAACCCCCTCCAAAATGGCTGCCAACCCTCTGTGCCAACCAAAAAGCTAGCACTCCTGATCTGCTCCTCCTCCTGCTCTTCCCACACAGCTGTGTGGTGCCAAGAGGAGGAGCTTGCAGGAAAAGGCACATGTGGGAAGAAGGTTCACTTTGCCGTTAGAGTAGGGCATGGGGAGGGGGGAGGTGGAGGGCTGCCTTCATGGCCCTGCCATTTGGGCAGCCATTTTGCCCGACCCCCATGTCTTTCCCAGCTGGAACTGTGAGAGCCGTTCAGCAGTGGAACTCTCTGCCCCAGAGTGTGGTGGAGGCTCCTTCTTTGGAAGCTTTTCAACAGATGCTGGATGACCATCTGTCAGGGGTGATTTGAATGCAATATTCCTGCTTCTTGGCAGAATGGGGGTGGTCTGGATGCCCCATGAGGTCTCTTCCAATTCTTTGGTTCTGTGATTCTATGATTTTATGATTCTATGATTCTATGATTCTATTCTGCCTTGGTCAGTCCACACCTGGAATATTGTGTCCAATTCTGGGAGAGGTTGAAGGGAGAGGTTGACAAGCTGGAATATGTCCAGAAGAGGGCGACTAAAATGATCAAGAGTCTGGAGGACAAGCCCTGTGAGGAGCGGCTTAAAAGAGCTGGGTATGTTTACCCTGAAGAGGAGAAGGCTGAGAGGAGATATGATGAGAGCCATGTATAACCACGTGAGAGGAACTCAGCGGAGTTGTTGGTGTAGGAGCATGGCTTCAATGCTGGTGGTCTTTGCTTCTTCCAGCACACTGATATTTTGTCAAAGGCTTTCATGGCCGGAATCACTGGGTTGTTGTAGGTTTTTTCGGGCTATATGGCCATGATCTAGAAGCATTCTCTCCTGACGTTTCACCTGCATCTATGGCAAGCATCACCTCACTACCTCTGAGGATTTTTTTTTTTGTCGTGTCAGGAGCAACCGTTCCTGTTGTGAGAGAATTGGCCGTCTGCAAGGACGTTGCCCAGGGGACGCCTGGATGATTTTTGATGTTTTCTCATCCTTGTGGGAGGCTTTTCTCATGTCCCCGCATGAGGAGCTGGAGCTAATAGAGGGAGCTCATCTGCCTCTCCTCGGATTCGAACCTGCGACCTGTCGGTCTTCAGTCCTGCCGGCACAGTGCTTTAACCCACTGCCCCACTGGGGGCTCCACCTCTGAGGATGCTTGACATAGATGCAGGTGAAACGTCAGGAGAGAATGCCTCTAGACCATGGTCATATAGCCTGAAAAAACCTCTTAAAAATCTTACAAATCTCTTGGGAAGACAGGCAGACAAATATTGTAGGTTGTTGTAGGGAGGAGGGAACAAGCTTCCTTTCTGCTGCCATGGAGACTAGGATGTTATGGCTTCAAACTACATTAGGAAGAACTTCCTGACTGTGAGAGCTGTTCAGCAGTGGAACTCTCTGTCCTGGAGTATGGTGGAGGCTCCTTCTTTGGAAGCTTTATACAGAGGCTGGATGGCCATCTGTCGGGGTGCTTTGAATGCAATATCCCTGCTTCTTGGCAGAATGGGGTTGGACTGG